AGCCGGGTGTCTGACACGCGCGGAAACCCAACGCTGTGTCTAAGGAGTATCGAAACCAGGCAGACCCCCGCCCGTGCATGCCATTTACGCATTGAAATGTCCCGCTTGGGCACGTTGTGCGAGACAATAAAGCAGGCAATGCAACGGCGTGAAAGGCTAAGCAACTGGGTGAGAAAAGTTCCCACAATGAGGACGATGTCCAGCAGATGGTGCACTGACACTACATCGCAATGATTCCCAGGTCAGGTCCGTTTAGCAGAGACTGAGAGGAGTCGGTCAGTTTTACAAAGGGCCTTGTTAAACTGTAGGGAATGTGCCCAAACAAAAATGCAGCGTTTCCTGCTAATTACAAACTACCCAGAGACCTTTCTCCAACAACGGAGTTGGTAGCCGGAAGGAACGAGGACAGTTAACAGCGCTTGAACTAGATGACAATCTGTCTGCACTGACATAATCAGTTTCATCAGTGATCACAAAGGAAGATTTTAAACCAGCGTTTCATCCACACAGTCCAAGGGGCCTGGAGGGCCTGCATTTTAAAGTTAATTAGGGACCTGCTGTCATTAAAGCATTCTAGGTCTTTCGAGGATATGGATTAGCACTGGAGCAATGGGATGAAACTGGCCAGCCTCACTCAGGATAAGAGCATCCTGCTGTTACACTCACACACATACACACACAGAACCACCTCCAGATCCCTGCATCTAACCTTTGGATAGTAATTTCTGGCAGCAAACTTTCTCAAGACAGGGTAATGGTTTTGACCCTCCTAATACTTCGCAATACCATGAGAATAATAATCTGCGCATTTAACGTAGCACTGTTACAGTAAAACATCCCCGCACACTTCACAGAAGAATGCTATAGAGTGAGACGACTGCGTATTTGAGGGCAAATGCGGCAGTGATTTTGTGTACAGCAAGGAAAGACCCACACACAGTTACAAGGATTGTCGGCCAGAAAACTGGGACGAGGTCCCTTCTCCTCTCCAATAGTGACGTAGGGTCTTATCGTGCACCTGAACAGATAGTCACGACCTTGGCATAATATTGCATCCAAACAATGCAGCCCTCGCCCCACTCAAATACTGCATTGGGTGTCAGTCTAGACTGCGAGACCTGCTGTGGTGCGCCTGGGATAACACCTCTCTAGTCTCTATAAGGAAGGGACGTGCAAGACAGCAGGAAACTACAAATGATCGAAACAGTGGGAAGAAGAATAAAATCTGCAAGTGAGCCGTCTGGAATAATTAGTAACTGGTATCGTGGTTCATCCCACAAGCCCTCAGCCTAAATTACACAAAGCAGAATACAGACAGATGGAGCTCAACTTGAAATAGTCAGTAATAGCTCCCAGGGCTGTGACAAAACCAAGGATCCTTTCCCGCCAGCGCTAAAATGCATTTACAATTGCTTTGAACACATACTGCACCGTCTTTGGGGGAGGGAGCTGCTCTAAATACAGCACAGCCATACAAGCATAGCGTCTATTAATTAGTGGAAACAGTATGAAAACAGTGCAAACATCAGGTGTCTGCACAGGTGTGCTAGCATTTGTATGTGTGCGAGTGAGTGGTATGTTTGTGAGCGCGAGCGGTGTGTGTGTGCGTGTGCGAGCGAGCGGTGTGCGCGAGCGAGCGGTGTGCGCTAGAGACGGGTTGTGCGAGCGAGGGGTTGTGCGAGCGAGGGGTTCTGCGAGCGAGGGGTGTGTGTGCGAGCGAGGGGTGTGTGTGTGCGAGCGAGGGGTGTGTGTGTGCGAGCGAGGGGTGTGTATGCGTGAGCGAGGGAGGGAGGTGTGTGTGTACGAGCGAGGGGTGTGTGTACGTGAGCGAGGGAGGGAGGTGTGTGTGTACGAGCGAGGGGTGTGTGCGCGAGCATGTGTGTGTGTGTGTGTGAATGAGCATGTATGTGAGTCTCTCTCTTGCTCTTCATGCACAGCTCAGGTAAAGTTGCAAACCAGGTTACAATGCACATGCGCAGCAACTACAAATCTCCCCTCTCCCCCCCCCGTCACAGCCCAACTCTACTTTCACACCGAGTCTCTGACGTGAATTAGGAGCTAAGCGGCTGTTGCCCGGCAATCAGCGACATTTGAACGTTCCGCTGCAATCGGGAAATTCTTTGTGGTATAAAAAGGGCCAGAGTGTTATTTTTGGTGACAGTTCTGAGCTAGACCCCCATGTTTAAAAAAAATTCTTTTTTAATGCTCATTCCTCTGTGAGCGAGCGAGCGAGCGCGCACAGACAGTAACTCAGTAACTCAGCAGCCCAGCTCCCTGCGCTTTGCTCTCTGCCATACTCCAAGCAGTCTGCCGCAGCTCAATTTTAATTTGCACGGCTGTAGTCTTGCTTTCGTCACGTGTGGGATTAACACCTGGGAGCTGAGCTGCTCAATGGTGTCAGCCTGGCTCGGTCGCTCGCTCTCTCCCTCTCTCTCTCTCTCTCTCGCCTCTGGGTCGGAAGGTTGTGGGTTCAAGACCCAACATCGGGGTTTGAGTTAATTCACCATTCAGGTTGACACTCCAGCGTCAAGGAATATTATCAGCCACGGAAACAATCTGGATCGAGAAGCTACACTCCCGAGGATAGCAGATGCACAATTTCTCAGAAGGGTCTTCCGTTACTGGCCGCAGAGAGGCAGGCGTTAAGACATCCAGGCCGGCTGCTGGTGACTGTGGCTTGTGACAGCAGGTCAGCAAAATTCCCAAACCTACAGCCATTCACTACAAAGCAGGGGGCGGTGCGGGGGGAATTACAGGGACAAAAGGCACTGAGTGTATAACATGTGCTAGTTCACTGAGCACAGACACTGACTCTGACACAGCACTAACGTCACCAGAAACAATCGAAGCTTTACAGAGTGAGACGCACAAAGACAGAAAACGCACAGCCCAACGTTTACCAATCTCGGTCTCCGGAAAAACAAACGGCTTTTATTCCCAAACTCTCTTTTCAGACAGCAAACGGCACCATGGAAAGTCAGGACATTGTGATCCGATTTCCAGACTCGAGATTGGAACATGCAATTCATTAAAATGGATGTTTGCGTGATGGAGGGGGTAGGGGCAGGGGGGAAAAGAGAGGAAAGGGGTGGAGAAGAACACAAGGGAGACGTGCGAGAACGTCTCGAGTGTCAACACTCAAACAAATATGTGAAGCGCTTTGAAACATGGTTCTGACTATAGAGTTAACCTTACACCAAATGCAAGGATCATTATTTTTATTATTACCTCCAAATATAGCAAGCAGCAGCACAAAAAGCCAATCTAGAGAGCTACACGTTGCAGTCAGTCGATGTCCGAGTTAGCAAGATCGTCCAACCCTTCAGTCTCACAGTGTTGTCCGGGTTCCCGTTACAAAGCGGAATCCAATAAATCAAAACCAAAACAAGTTATGACCTCACACTGAGCCTGCAATTCTTTCTTGAATTTACTGGGCACAATCTTCCTCGACTGCCTCCCTCTGGCTGTGCATTCCATCACCGCTCTCTGCCTAAAGTGACTCAATTCCCCCTACCCCCACCCACATGTTCAAGACCATTCGGCGCAAATTATTAAACTGGTCGCTATTACTCATCCATCTAATGCCACACAACAAGTTCAGTAAAGCTTGAATACAAGAAGCAAACTTTACAGCCACGTTAGCACCATACAACCGAGGCCCCCCGGCTAAAAGTCGTTGATAATAGTTACCAACAAGCGAGAATTATAAGAGTAAAACAAATCACAGCCACTGACCATGAATGCCAGAGTGTCCTCTCTGTTTAATTAACACCTGGCGCGCCAGAGTTCCTCTCAGGGCAGGTTTCACAGATGATAATCCAACAAGGGGTGACAGGCTCCCTCTCTGTGTGTTGCTGCACCCAGATCCTTCTCAGTGTTGAGCTCCAGCCGAAACCAGGTAGTCACATTCCCTCGTTCCCTCCCCCTCCCTCCCTCGCATTGGGAGGCCTGCGTGACTGTTACATCATGTACTGTACGGCATTAACCACTAATGTGGTTACTGGGTAACAGAACTGGGAGTTCATTGGACTTTGGAACATGGAGCAGAACGAGCCTTTCAGCACTTTACGAGCGATTGAGCGACTACGTCAGAGGGCGAAACTCGCCTCCGACAGCGGCTGAGACAACTGCTGCCGTGTTTCCTTCTCAAGGTTAGGGTGACCCAGTGCCACACCAGCAGCAAAAGGTGTGGCTCACCTCACTGTTACTGTCCCAACTTCCCCTCTCTTCCACCCCCTCCCCTGTTAAAGCTTCATAACTGCACCTACCTGGAGCTCAGCCGCTCTTGTCACACTGAGACATTTTTGAAAAATAGGAATTAAGAAAAATAAGGGAACGAAAAGGACAATCAATTCTTGGGAGAGCAGGCGGCTACTCGCAGAACCTACAAATCTCGTTCTGTATGGTGGGCGGCGGGGAAGAGGGGAGTGAGAGAGGAGTGGGAAGAGTGAGAGAAGGGGGAGAGGGGGCAGGGGCTGGGTTCAGTTTCACTGAGGCTTAAAACCCCCTGAAAAGTAAGATTTTAAAAGAGGGAATAGAGTGTCCTGTAAATTTCTGCCTTCCCAAAGGAGAATCCATTAGGGCAGCGCCACGACATTGTAACTCAAGTGGTTGTTTCAGGCCTTAGCATCTCTCGGGGTTATTACACATCAGAAGTCAACAGGTTTTAATACGAGACACAGGCCAGGAGGGGAAGCATGGTAGATTTTTTTTTTAAATTCTCCTTAACCCCGGGGGAGGGTGAAGCCAATTGTAGTTCCTCACAGGACAGCTGAGATGTTGGGGGCAGCGTCAATGCTTACGGCAAAGCCTGAAAGCCAGTGCTTTGCTCACAAACCCGTAACCACAAACTACACCCGAGCATTTACAACCACGCCTCACGTTTCTCAGAATAAGAAGTCTACAGGGTTTTCTTTTGGCGAAACAATCCTAAGAGCGCCAACCGGTCGCTTTATCAGAGCTTCGAGGCAGCGAGAGGAGCGAGGGTGGGTGCCACTCACCTATGCGGTTTTCCATTCCCAGTTACACTTCTCTGGAGCGGAACTGCAAAGAGAGAGCGAGAGACAAGGTTACTGGGTCGCACTGGCTCAGTGTCGCACGAGAGCGGAGGCTGGGTGCTTGCCGGGTGCCCTGCTCCACAGCCCCGCAACGCAGACCGCCCCCAGCCATCTGGACCTGCACCGAGCCGAACGGGGACACTTGCTGGATTTCAGCGGCTTATAAGGGTTTTAGGGCCATGTTTTTTTTGAGGCTGGAGCGCCTGATGGTGCCCCGGGCAGCAGACATGTCACTGTTGCACTGTTCCCCTCCTGGTTGTGACGTCATGAATGGGCAGCAGTACGTTGTGGGGCTCTTCATTCATGACGTCACTGTGGGAGGAGCGCCTGCACAACAACCACAACAACTTGGGTTTATGCAGCGACCCCTCGTCTGCGGCGGAGGGTCCCAGAGCGCTTGACAGTGGCGGAGGCACCAGGCCGAGCCGGGGTGGTGGGAGGAGGCAGATGACCGCAAGCACTGTCGAATAGGAAGGTCTTCAGAAGATGGGGAAGGAAGGGGCAAGGCGGTGGGGGATAGAGGAAGAGTGTTCCAGAGTTTCGGGGCACCGTGGCTGAAAACGCGGCCACCAAAGGTGGAACGGAGTGGTCTCTCCCGTTCCCCCCCCCCCTCACCCCGCCATCGGCCCTCTCCAGATAGCAGCGGTCAAAGAGAAAAGCGCATGCACTTTAAGGGCTGAAATGAACTCCAACCCACTAACACTATTCTCGCAGACCCAATGCTCAATTTACATTACAATCATCCTTGCGCTTAAGGTAGCGCATGTAATTTCGAAACTCCTCGAAATGTTTTTTCACCTAATTGCTGTCAAGTGTAGAGACTGCATTTCTAGGTACCCGCGGCAGCCAATTTGTTGTACGGCAAAGTTCTGCAAACAGCCGCTGGGAATTGAGTGAACAGTTTATCACCAGGAGAAAAGACCCCCCCTTCTCTTTTCCAATTCTATCACTGTCCACCTCATGGCACCTCCTGCAATCCTGGGCTCCCCTGAAGTACTGAGCTGGAATGTAAGTGTAGAGTCTACACTGCCTACAGGTACAAATGAATCCACAACCTTTCGCCCCAAAATACAGTCAATTCACTTCGCAGTATATTCTGTGAAGCACTTTGAGACGTATCAAATGCAAGGATTATTATTATTATTTATTATAACCGTGAGGTCCTGGCCTAGAGGCGAGTGAGCTAGCGACTGAGCCAAGCTCACAGATAACTGTCCCAAACAGAAGTATGAACGAGGGCTGTAGAACAACAACTCGTACAAATCATGCAGTGAGATAAATTACAAAAACATGATCTGAAGATTACATTTTGGTCTTGCATGATCCAATTAGGGCAGGCGTCCTTGCACCACATTATCCTGCCACCTACTCCCTCCCCTCGTCTGCCCTTAATCTCAAAGCAAATGTTAGTCAGTAATCCACTCCTGCTCCTGCAGATTTTGGCTGTAGTTTCAGTCAGAGTCAGTCGCTCATCAACAATGCCATTAGTACAGACTGAAACTAATGAATACTAATCATCCCGGAGTTAAATAATCCGTTTAAAGACAGATACCGGAGATCCTCTCACTGATAATTAAAAGAAAAACGTACGTCCCCCGCCCCCACCAACCCCACAGATAAATCAGTGCTCGCTCCAGGATCTTTCCGAAATGGAAACATACAATTAATTCAACAGATACAATAAGAAAATTCATATCATAATTTCACAATTTCTTTTTGCCGCTGAGTTTCAGTTAGTTTTTTGGTTTGAGTTTTAGTTTAATTATTATTAGTTTTCTCCTCTGAAGGCCTCTATCTGCCTTTTTATCTCTTTTACTGTTCCCTCAAAATTCCCCCTCCTTTCCTTTCCTCCCCGCCGGTGACTCACATCGCTGATGTGAATGTTTCTCCTATAGCCAAGGCAACTTTATAAGTGGGGGTTGCTCTTATCGTGGCCAGTCATTCCAAACTGAGATTAGGGGATGCGGCAGTGGTTTTGTAGTAGTCTGTAGAGCACCAGGTTATAGCGCCTTGGGACGTCCTCCTGACGTGAAAGGCGCTTTATAAATGGAATCTTGTTGTTGTTGTTGTTGTTATAGGTGATCTTGTTTGGTACATTACATTTGGTATATTACACCGCTCCAGAGACCTCGACAACGTTAGAAAGAAATCATACAATCGCAGGATCGTGTCCCACCCAAAACATCTTTCCCAAACCAGGAGTTCTCAGGCATGAAACAGGCAAGAAAAAGACTCCTTAAACTTCCAGAACCAGGAACTGGGGCTAGCGCCAGCGGCTCTTTGCTCCACAGCTGTTGATTTATCTTCAGCACCTTAAGACAGGAATTGCCCGCACAGGCCTCGAAGATCTATCTCCTGATGGTAAACAAAGCGTGACCTATTGATCTGATTAACATCTGCTGCTATTAAGCGCTAACGTGACTCAGACAAGGAAGGTCATTGCGATAATATCAAACAAGGCACAATTCGAGCTATACTCATTAATCCAGTGACTTCTCTCGGATACAACTGACATTTACATAGCACTTTTCCTGTCGGGAGGACATCCCGAGTTAACGGCTGAAGATGTTTGCAGATACAAACATATATTTAAACCAATAGATCTTTTATATTTCTCCTGTGCTGCAGAACATGCTTCACGGTATCTCAATAACATTGCCTGTTTGGTAGACAATTACAGACATTGATCAAAAGGCAAAGTACTGCAGACAAAAACAGAGAGAGCTGAGAAAACTCAGCAGGTCAGGCAGTATCTATAGAGAAAGGAAAGTGAGTCAAGGGTTCGGGTCCACGACCCTTCGTCAGAACAGAAGTACTGCAGATGCTGATATTGATCTCATGGTAAAGATGAAAGATCCAATTGAGCAACTTTTAATATTATATTACAACTTCATTGCTCTTTTTTTAACAAAAAGCTTTAAAAAGTGAATGCAGCTGTTAATTTGCACGTCAGTTCCCAACTCCAATTCTTCATCAATTCACTCCAGACTCAAAGCTCTACGCTCAGTTAGACGACCAAGGTCGCTGCAGTTCAGCGCCTTGGGACGTCCTCTTGAGGCGAAAGGTGTTATGCAAATGGGAACTTTATATTGTACTGGGTGTCCACAAAGTTCTGGTATCCCATGTTTTTTTGCCTACAGTGCCTACTGACCAACTGGTGCAACATGTGGAAGAATGATGATAATTGGATTTAGAAGTACTTGATTGTATTTAGACGTCCAGAGGATGGGTATGTGTGTGTGTGTAAGTGAGCGCCATCATGGAGCGAGGAGGCGAAACGCATCTATGGCAGTTTGTTTCAGTTCCTCCATAGTTTCATATCCTTGTTTTTTTTTAACGGGGGGACGGTGGTTGGAATGGGGGGGGGGGAACTTAGTGGACACCCTGTAGTACTTCAATACTCAGGTAAGACAGATTTTAAACGTGGATTCTGTGTGTATTGCACTACTTCCTCTCACCTCCCCTCACCAGCCAAGGATCACGCCATCCAAACCACATTCTACACGCTACCCGGGAACCAATTAACATATGATTTCATTTGCATACAGCAGTGGCCACATCATTAGGCAAAGAGGAGCAGGTTGCGGGGGGGGGGGCTGGGGTTGGGGTGGGGTGCTGCATGTTAATATATTATTCTCTTATCAACTGTGAGGGGCTTCTTGTTAATTTGTGGTAAGAAAATAGAGAGGAAAAAAAGGAACAAAAATAATGGGATCACTTCGGAAGCCAATCTCTTTAATGGGCTCTTAAAACCCACAAGCTCGACAATTGGTCAAAAACCACAAATGCTTTAATTTATCTGCGAGATGCTATTTCAGGACCCTGTAAACAGAATATACAGTAAGTACGCTGCTTCAGAGAGCTGGGACTGGAGATTGTCGAACACTGCGGGGAGTGGTGTTGGGGGTGGGGGGGGGGTGGAAAAAATCGAGCCAGATTTTCAGTTAACCAAATAAAAATCCCAGTTATCAAAAGGAAATGATTTTAACAGCACAAATCTCTCCAGGTTTCGGTCACGAAAGGCTGCAAGAATCACAGATGTGGAACTGAAAATGGGGCGATTGCACAGCAGGGAGGGCGGGGACCTTTGTGTTAATAAAATAAAAAATGTCATTTGTATTGTGCCTTTCACGTCGGGAGGACATCCCAAGGACAGTCAGGGATTTGGACACGAGCAGGCTGAGGGGTGGGGGTTGAAGTAAGGGAAGGTGGAGGGTAGGGAGGGTAGAGGACAGAGAGGGTGGCCGAGGGCACACTCGAGAAGGGTCTTGAGATGTGCCTTGAAGAGGCAAGGCAAGGAGCAAGGTAAAGGGAATGTGTGATGGAGTTCCAAACGGTGAGGGCGGAGAGACTCAAGGCCCAACCGATGATGGCGTAGAAGTGAGACAGAAATGGCGCGGACCACCATTGAATCCAGCCCGTATGTAGTCTGTTGTTGGTTTTCCTGCGGCTTGGCTCAAATAGCTCCATTTTCGTCAACGTCCACTCAGAAAGGGATTGTGAAATCCCGCTCAGAGCGGACTTTGGGATGAGACCGGCCTGAGTGCATTTCACAAAAGATCCGGAGAGAGGGGGGAGGCTTTACTGGCCGCCGGTCAAAGCTGGGAGTCTGGAACGCAGAGCGGAGAAGCCAGTGCTTATCAGTAATGTGTCGCCCCAGCCCCTCTCGCTAATATGGATTTTACCGCTTTCCACTGCGCACACATTGGAGCTTCTGAAGATGACCTTACCAATTTGCTTTCCCAGCAACAGTTCTACTCGCTAATTGGGATGGTGCCAAGGTCAGCTCCGCGAGATGTGACTCTGAGCAGAGCATTGGGAAAACCCGTCGGCTGTTCATTCCGGATTACCGATGGAGGAGACGTGGCCACGGGACAAACCCGGGGAGCAAAAGGAGCACAAACCCCAAACTTCCCCAGGCCGTGAGGTAGAATGTTAGGTGATGCTTCTTACCTAACACTTTGTGCTGATAAAGGAAGTCGACAAAAAAAATCCCATTAACACGCTGTGCATCAAGCTGGCAGAGTGACAGCACTTTTGCGTGGTGTTGATCGACCAAAATAACACTCATTAAAATTCAAGTTTCCGAAGGAAAGGTACAGTGAAGCCTCTTAAATAGACAATGTCAGAAAAATGATAAATATCACCGCTTGTGACTCATGTCACGTCTCACGAGGTTGTTTGGTCAGCCTTTCTGCAGTGAGAGTTGCAGCAGGTGACTGGCCGTGGCACAACATCATTCAAGGGGAAACTTTTACTCAGGTTCTTTCGAACACACAGAGAAACTCGAGTTACACGCAAACTGTCCTGCTCCAAGAATCGAGAGACTTCAGCCTGGCTGCACCATCCCACTTGCAGGTAACCATCAGGCTTGTCTGTCGCCCAAACTGGTTTTACTAGAAACCAAACCGATTGAGTTTGATTGAGCTGCGAAACCCAAAGCCCCAGAGAATCCGCCTGGCGTCAAGACTCAACCTCAGTGAAACAGCTGTTCAGCAGAGACCATGGAAGCGCTGGGATTATTAATCAAAGCCCCGGACAGGAGAAGATGAAAGTGACCCACTTACCATCTACTCCGTGCTCGAATCAAACTCACGCTGCTGTTTCTGTCTGCTCGGAAGCTCTGGCGTTTTATACAATGGGCCTGCGGGCGTATTTTGGTTCCAGATTGGCCGCAAGAGAAGAAATGTACTGTAACATTCTCTCGCGCTCTCTCAACCTTTGTTCTCTCTCTTAAAGCTCCTAATAACGCTCACTCCTTCCTCCTCCACTGGTTGGTGGTGGTATCAAGTGAAGCCCTGGGGTTCATGCCCCAGTAGACAGACACTGTAAATGTTCCCACTACACCAAAGGCGCCATACTCGTGGTAAGTTAATATTGTTGAAGAAAGCGACTTACGTTTTTGACCACAAATATTTTTCAGGCTCGGCAACATAAAACATTCAAAGGATTCCTGAAACAAGTCGCTGCTTGCTCTGCCCACAACTGAATCTTCAATAAATTCTTTAAACCCATTGCGTAAAATCTCTGCCTCTCTTAGCAAAGCACCTACAGTTGACCCAAGTTCAGAGGGTCTTGCTTTAACATGTCTGCCAGCCCAGGAACGTTAGGCAGGTGAGTCAGTCTTTGAGCAGTTACACAGCCCTTTCCAAGTGCAGTGATCACACACAAGTTGCCATGTGCAATAAATAATAATAATCGTTGCATTTGAAATAGCGCACAGCAGTGACCCACAAACAGTCATGGATTGAGTGACCAATTTGCAGGGCACCATCTGTAGCTTGGCAGTACCAGCTTGGTTCAGCCGGTTAGCGCTCTCTCTCCTTTAGGTCATAGGTTTGCGGGTTCAAGCCCCTCATTGGAATTTGAGCTCACGGTCCAGGTTAACAGCCCAGTCCACACTTCACACACAGCTTGTGATCCTGTATGGCTGTGCAGGACAGTCTCCTTTAACTGCTAGGCCACGAAGAGAGAGAGAGCTTCACAAGTTAATCACAGGGTAAGGAACCCTTTTCATCGCAATACACATTCCTTGCTGGTGGTTTTACATCCAGATACAGGAAGAGAGTTCAAACAAAGCTTGCTCATTCTTGACATTAAACAGAACAAACTGATGGCCTGACCACCCCATCCTGCAACCAAGTACACAAGAATATTTTTTTTGGCCCATAGGTTTGTTTGAAATATCACCCAAACTAACAGAAGATGGGAATACAATGCAAGTACACAGCCAAAAGGCTTTCTCCCCTTGCCAATATATGGTCACTCGGTGAGGGCAGATTTAACCTTTTATCTGACAGTCCCACAGTCAAACAGCCTGCTAATTGCCCAGTTTACGTAGGAAGATGGGAACTTTTGGCATGGTAGTGTACAGTAGTAAGCCCCAATCACACCCAACATTACGTCTTCAGGAGAGGAAAGGAATTTAACGTTAAACTCTGAGGCAGTATAAAATTGGTCCCTTATCTCCTGCCAATACCAGTCTTGTATTTAGATCCCAAATAGCAATTGCACAGTCAATGTGACTTCTCATCATGTCAAAAAGCATTGCAGCTTCAAATTGAATTCCAAGAATAGGTTTCACGGAATTAGTCTTGCTCTCATCATCTTGGAATAAATATCCTGTCGCCCGTCACTCCAATATATCTTTTTCCAAGACTAAGAATAAGAACTCGCATTTTTACAGCTCTCTATTACGCCAAAACATCTCAAAATGTTCTCTGGCAAGTGTAATAGGCGTATTTTGAAGGCAAATGCAGCAGCTATTTTTGCACAAATCAAGGTCCCACAAACAGCCGGATGAATGAGTGATTTATCTGGTGGATTATTGGCCAGGATATGGTGAGAAACTCTTCTCGTTTTTGAACACTTTTGAAGTGTCACAGGATCTTTGACACCCAACTGAAGAACAGACTGAATGAAGGCACTGTGGTTGAAGCTTCCTCTGAAATACGGCAGCTCCAATAATTCAGAGATCTCCCCAAAAGTTCATTCTAGTGTCAGCTGAATCTGAGCTCAAGACTCAATTTGGCGATTTAATGCACAAACAAATAAACGCCTGGCCCAAAGGCAAGAATGATTGAGCCAAGCTGAGAACAGCAACAACAACTTGCATTTATATAACGCCCATCACGTAAGATAACATCCCAGAGCGCCGGCACGTTAAAGAGAGAAAAGTAAGTAGCACAGAACAAGCTTCCCTCTTGAAATGGGCGGCATCAGCAGCCATACACAGGCCTGTTACTCAACAGTCCAAGCCCAACTTTGCTACCAATGTGTGGCAGAAATCAAACGGCCCATTCCGAGAGGGAAGCACGTTCTGGCAGAGGCAGGAGGTCAGTGTTAAAAGTGCCAAGATTTCCCATGGGCCTGAGAAGGGAAACATTCGATGTGCGCTGGGCTTACGTTCTCACTTAAATCAGATTATTTCTGAACCATTTGTTCAACGAGGAAGGAACGTACTCCCAGCGGGGCAACGTAAAATCGGAGCCGGATAAGATGTAACTTCAAATCACCATGAAATATTAAAGGCCCGACTAACAAAAACCAATCCGCTCACAGCTGGGATCCCCATCTCCTGGGTCACTCACTTAACCAGAGGTCTGATAGCTGCAGGATTATTCTCACGCCCTCAGACCGGTTTGTACTTGGCTGTTCAAAGAATTCAGGTTATCCCCAATAACGCCCTAGTGTATTGAGAATGCCTCTCGAACAGGGAGTGCTTCAGTACTGTATTTCACACCGGACACCTGAACACCTTACAGATACCCCCCTACACCTATACCTCACCGCCCCCCAAACGCTAAAAAGGAAAAATGCATCAAATTTCATCACCAACAACAACCCTCACAGAGGAAATCAATAATAATAATAATAATATAATAATCCTTGCATTTGATATAGCGCTTTTCACGTCGGGAGGACGTCCCAAAGCGCTTCACAGAACACACTGTAAAGTGAATTGACTGTATATTTGTGGGCGAACGCGGCAGCCAATTGCGCACAGCAATGTCCCACAAATCGCTGCAGGATTGTCCTCGCTAGGTGAGGACAGGATTGTCCTCACCTAGCGAGGACAATCCTGCAGCGATTCTGCAGAATCAGACATCCCGGCAAAATGCTATCCTCTCTTACCCAATCCCTTAAGCCAATTACAGCCTCAACAGCAGCATGGAGCAGATTCAAAGCTGCGAATGTTTTGTTCAAATGACTGAGCGCTGCACCGGGTACGTGTACCGAACGATCATCAAGGGGCTCCAACAATAACGCTGGGCACATTCCGTGCAACACCAGCAGTTCCTTGATCTTCCCGAGGTTGCCCAATAGCTCTCATGCCAGCATGATGGTCAATCAATTTTCAGAAGAAGGCAAGGTCAAAACCAGCCATCCATTAACAGCGCCCAGCCAAGTTTAAGAACCGAGCAATGAGAAGCTCTCACATGGTAACCCTGAACTGTGAGCCATACAGTTGCAAAAGAACCCTTCCAACAAGTACAGTATTCCACGTCAACACTTCCTGCTCGCTTTACTCTGGTGGGTGTTTTTGTTTCCCTCCTCTCCCGTAGGTGCTGACACAAGGTGAGAGCCAGCCCTCCGCTACCTCACTCACCATCAAGAGAGCAGACAGACAGCAAAGCAACCGTCAAAAGCCATTCAACCCAGAAGGAGGGGCAGAGGGAGGAGAATCACAGCGATCAGAAGCAGCACAACCTGTTATATTTGTCCTCTTCCGACCACAGGTTCAGGGGCAGGAACCTTCGGCAGTTACTCCTAGAAAGACCATGTTCCCTCCACAGTATAATCCTTCCCCACCACCAAATTTTCTGGGATTAGGTTCCAGATAAGAGCAAGGCGTTTCTCTTTTATTAGCCATGCTGCACCCTGGCCGGGCAGACAGCACAGTCAGTCCGTCAAAGAGCTATAATTAACTACAGCACACTTTATACCCTTTAAAGGGGAATCGTGAATGCTGTGGGGCTTTAAAGACCAATCTAATTTACGCAACAACTTTCTGGTGAAAAGAAACTGCACTCAAACCATCACCATTCATGCCAGCCTGACCTGCGAGGTAAAACGTAAAGAATCCCACTTAATGTTTGCTTTCTGTTAATGATTTAAGGAGATGTTGTCACAGATTCTACAGTCTACAAATAACGATGGGAGTCACTCAAAACATCAGGTTGTGCAGACGAGCATGGGAGGTGCTTTGGAGGATTATTCACAAGCATCACTTTGTTCAGATGTCTCAAAACACTTCACAGGTTGTACTGTAAAGTGGATTGACTATATTTTATGGGAAAAACAGGGCATGATGTTTCCTGTTGACAGGCCCTGTGAAGAATCCCCACAGATATGCACTTTGATCATGAAGTATTTACCGGCCTGGAACCAAACAAGCTCCCCACCCCTCGCCCACCCCAACCTCACAAGTTTGACGGAGAGAAATGTGTCCAAAATCTCCTCATCAGGCCCCACTTTTGCATCCAAATGCCCCCCCTCCCCCCCCACCTCACCTCTTCCTGCAAATACCAAACACCAGGAGGGGGAGGGAGCTGGTCATGTATCTCTGAAGCTACGATGATCACTGGAAATGTGATTACTTTCCCTGGAGAGGCTTTGGAGACGCCAGCGCCTATGGATTTTAATAATATTAAGGGTTTTAACTGTGGGGAAAGCGGGTGGAAAATACACCTCTGTGATTTCCTCTCAGTGTTTCACACAGAAAATTGTGCAGGAAGCAATTTTCTGCTGCTTGGATCATCAGCTAGTTTTTACTGTTCCACCCAAATGCAATTACAGGGATCTTTTGTGCAGGAGTCTATCCTGCAGATAAATCGGACTTTCACCTCGTGGCTATCTGATGGACCCTTGATGAGACGACACGCTATAAATGCAACTTCTTGCTTTTCTTCCTGACAGATTCACACTCCCACCATTAGTCAACAAAGCACTTTGCACACTTGAATGTGATGTTTTCCCTATCTCTCTCTCTCCTGGGAACGGATGTACTCACTCCAGTTATCTGCATCTCTGTGCAGTGCAGTAATGTTCCGGGAAGCCGAGAGCTTTATACCCAAATCCATTAAAGCTTGACAACCTCATTAAGCCTTATGTGGACCATTCGAGCATCAAAATTAATCCAAGAAAGGGACTGCGGTTGGTTTCTGCTGCTCCACAGATGTGTGCCCCACAACAACAATAATAATCCTTGCATTTGATTTAGTGCCTTATCGCGTCTTCGAGACGTCTCCAAGCGCTTCACAGAATAAAGTGAATTGACTGTATAATTTGTGGGCGAAACGCGGCAGCCAATTGCGCACAGCAGTGTCACAAACAGTCGTGGATCAAAGTGACCAATTCATTTTTATTTTTTTAAAGGAATAATTACCCCTGGAAAAGAGATCCGCCGATCGACTAACAACCGGGTTCCTACTTACTGTTAGGTAAACAAAGGACCACATACACGTCGCAATGGCTGGAACCCAGCACAGTTACACCATCAATAGCGACAGATTGCTTTGTGCTTTATCTGCATTAAAGTAGCCTTGAACTGAACAAACATCCAAAAAAAAATGAAATCTCTCCAGTGACTGGTTGAGTCAAACCATTCCTAGTTTGTGCTGAGCCAGCAAATCTCTGCCGGAGGCTCATCAATGGGGAGAGAAGAGAAACAAATAGTCAGCAAAAGATCCTGCACCTGAACATAACCGAATAGTGCTAACCCACGTCAACAAATTCACTAACTGTTCTAAACTAAGGCACAAGGCTACGAGGAAAGCTTGGCTACCCTAGGATTTTTGTACGAATCAGACAGAACTCGACAGAGCTATTCGATTAGAATTGAGTTTGGAAAATTGGATTCACATCCGTTTTTCTGACGCCTACAAAAATCCATAACAAAAGTGGCTTTCATCTTTGAAAGGAGTGACATCTTCTCAGGAAGCGAGAGTGATTTATTGGTGGTTTTAGTAAAGAGCGACACGACGGTGGAACAAGAAAATACGATGGGTTTCAAAAAGGATTTGTCAAAAAGGACTGTCAACTGAAAAGATTCAGAGGTAGGGTGCATCAAAGGAACAGGGGAGGGAATGGACAGGCAAAGATGGAACATTGCTCAGCTCATGCCTGAAAGTGGCAGCGTTCAAATAGCTTCTACTGTGTATTCATTGATGTACGGAGCAGTTTGGGGAAATGTGCTACTTAGAAAGGAACATGCATGTAATTTACCAGTGCAAATATATCAAAGAGAAATGTTGCACCTTGACTGGGAATAAGATGACGGCAGCTACTTCAAAACGTGTTGTGACGTCTCTCCAGCTTATTACTAGGAGGTGAAGTATCAGATTTTTGGATGACACTCATTACAACAGCTGCAAGTCGAAGATGAACCCTCAATCCATTAGCTGGGCTAAATTACATACACTGTCTTTTCATTGGGCAACTGATACATGCGCAGCAGAAAATGGATTGTAGGATCTGTTGCTCACTGGGGCTCATTCAATGCATGACACTGACACCACAGTGCACGAGAATGAACGCCAAATGAAGAGATAAACGAACCGATTCTTCCTACAGATCCACCGCTAGCTCAGCTTGGATGAATGGGAGGGAGTCTTACACGGTATCAAAACGGCAGGCAGCAAAAGTAATAAATGAGTTCAACTGCTTTGCATTCGGGATGTTTTGAACTGACAAAAAGGCGAGCGGCTGCACGAAGATATCTGACAGAAATGTGCAGCACCTTGCTAACATTTGACAGCCGACTGCGCGTGTTCAAGTGGAGGAATATTTGTCAGATTTCCAGTGCTATTTCTAGGCGTGAATTTAGCAGCTTCTTGCAAATGAGGAGAACGGGATCAGGGTTCTGCTTGTGTACACTGACACCATTCAGCAGTGAAAGCTTTTGATTAATACTCAGCCAGTGACCTTTCCCGTCCACGCAGATGGAGTTCGAAGAATAACCTAGATTCTATTTAAGATGGGCGCGGGAGAAAACAAATCTACAGGCCCTGCCTCCATTCTTACCTGACGGGTCTGATTTCCAAAGCCTTGCTTATCCCATTTATATTAATTTACTGTTCGTTGATGGTCGCAGCTCTCAGCCGTCAGTGTCATGGTGGGAACGCTCAGCAATGGGCCAAGGGCATATCACCAGGATACTCAGGAAGCAGACACTTCCTGCAGAACACAACCTAGACTGATAGCTCTTATTATTCTAATCGACACCTCTCCCCACTCCTCCATTACTTACTTGTTGCAGTGGGGGTCGACCGTAAAACCAGTCACTACACTTGACCGTAATTATCTGTAAAGCACTTTTGAGATATTTTGACTTGATAAGTCACCATATCAGATGCAATGATTGTCATTTCTTATTAAAAACACACATAGAGAGACTGGCTAGGTTAAGCCTGCCTTTCTCTCGCTTGCGTTCACTGGGCAGCAGAGGAGTAGTAGCTGAATCCCAGCTCTGGCACTATTCCCACCATCAGTCAGGGCATGAATGACACACCGAGAACGCAGAGCATAAGGTCTGATGGCGGTCACGGGTCAATGAGAGGTGGCTGTGAGTGGATGCTCTGCTGTATTACTTCAACAGCAGTGAATAATTGGCAGATTTCGATCTATTAATAACATCGGAGACATACAGAGCTGATCGGGAGGCATTCACCGAGGGAGTAAAATCCCTCACTTCACGGCAGTGGGAAGAAATAAATCAGGACATCATGACCTACAGGGCCCTCGTCTCTAACCTACGGTTAAACCTAAGATCATCCGAGACAACATCAACCCCATGCCGGTCACCCAGTCAATGTACCTCCAAATACATCGGGCAAGACAGAAAGAGGGAGCCAAAATAAGACCGAAAATAACGAAGTGTGCAGGAGTAATATCACACCACAGGCTCACACAAAGCCCTCAGGCTAAGGTTGACATCCAGGGCAGCTACAGCTGTAGAGAGACAGGCCACACTTCCCCGTTTCATCACTCGTTCTTTGTTGTAGTTGGCAAATTAACCAGTTCACTGTCTACTCATCCAGGGAGGGGAGCAGGTAGCCTTGTGGGGGCGGGGGGGGGGGGGGGAGAGCACCAGGAAATTACATTTAGAAGCCCAGCTCCACTGAGTGTTGCATGGTCTTCAAACGCTGGAAGAGAGCCCAGAAGTGGGCAGAGCACAAAGAGAATGCATTTGAAATCAATACTGCTCAAAACAAGCAGACGGTCCTCCTACTTAATCATGACTCCATCTACTTAAATTAAGGGGGGGATATAATTTGGGTCAAACTCACATAATGCTGTTCTGATGAAAGGTCATCGACCTGAAATATTAGCTCATTTTCCTCTCTCCATAGATGCTGCCTGACCTTCTGCATATTCCCTGTTTTCGGTTCAGATTTCCAGCATCTGTAGCATTTCGCCTTTTGTTTTGCATAATGCTTTTCATCATTTTATGCAATGCATGTAACTTCAAACCACCGCAAAGTGCTACACGGGTAACTGCTGACGTGTAGCGACTATTAGCGGGTAAACGCAGACGCAGCAGCCATTTTGCGCGTAGTCAGGCTCCACAAACGGCCACGGAGCGAATGATCTGGAGGATCGTCGGCTGGGACACAGAGAGTCATGGGACCTTTGACGGCTACCTGCAGGCAGCGAACACACAAGCAAAGACGTGCTCGTCCTCTTGGTGTGACAGGAAGGCCTGCCCTACGTCATCAGCTCATTGAAAACCACTCGTCACAGCTGCACTGTGCGTTTAATTAATCTCCTTCACATTACCTTTAAGCCTTGAAATGAAACAAGAGAGGGTGTCAGAGAAAGCTCAGAGATATCGTACAG